AGAAAAGAGTAAGTATATACAGGCATATATGTGGAAAACTACTGTCTTAAGGGGGCCTGTTCTTCTCCAAGGTTGTTCGGAATAGTTATCTCTTAAATGACTGGGGCAAGGAATTCTGGAGATCGGCCAGAGGCTGGACTTGCTGGGAGCTGGGCATAATCAACCTTAATGTCCATTTTTTTTTTTCCTTTGGGTGAGAGAGTTCTTTGTTTTACATAGCATGGTGTGGAGAACCTGGAGGGGAGTTTTAACTCCAGGCTATTTTGAGCCATGTAACATTCCTTCAATGACAAACCCAAACAGTGTATTAAAAAGCAGAGACATCACTTTGCCTACAAAGGCTGTATAGTCAAAGCTATGGTTTTTCCAGTAGTCATGTATGGATGTGAGAGTTGGAACATTAAGAAGGCTGAGCCCCAAAGAATTGATGCTTTCAAACTGTGGTGTTAGAGAAGACTCTTGAGGGTTCCTTGGACAGCAACGAGATCAAACCAGTCAATCCTAAAGGAAATAAATCCTGAATATTGACTGAATAGACTTATGCTGCAGCTAAAGCTCCAATACTTTGGCCACCTGATGGGAAGAACCGACTCATTGAAAGAGACCCTGATGCTGAAAACCCTGATGCTGGGAAAGATTGAAGGCAGGATGAGAAGGGGGTGACAAAGACTGAGAATGGTTTGATGGCATCACTAACTCAGTGGACATGAATTTAAGCAAACTCCAGGAGATACTGAAGGACAGGAAAGTCTGGCATGCTGCAGTTCACTGGTAGAAAAGAGTTGGACACAAATAGCAACTGAACAACAGCAACAATGTTGTAAATTATACAAGAAGAATGTAAGTAGGGTGCAAGCATTTTTTATATGTTTTTACAAAGAAATATTAATAAATTACTTAAATTCTCAATGTTTCTAATTTATCAAAGTACAAGTAGTAGGAGCTGACAGTTTATAACGTTTTGAAAACAAATTTAAAGCATCATAGAATAAACATTATATTTCCTATTGATTACTGAGTTCACTGCCAGTTTATTCAGTAATTTTTATGGTCCTTTTCTACCATGCAAAGTGAGGACTGCATATGCTTGGTATGTCAGGTGGTAATATGTAGGGAGCCATATACCAGTATTGCAGGTGGGAGGCCTTGTACCAATGCCACAGATGTGAAACCAGCACAAAAGTCATCTCCAGAACCGACTGACCCTCTTTCCATCCTTTACCATGACTCCCATCCCCAATCCTGATCTAAACAGGCCTTCTCCCTGACCCCACATTAGGTAAAAATACCTATCCTAACCAATCACTTACTGCCACCCTTTCAGCAGGAATTTTATTTTTCCTGAGGCTGTTAAAAGTTGACTACTAACCCATGGAAAGCATGGCTCTCCCTTGAGCTGGCCCACTGTTTAACAGTTATCTCTCTGTGGTTTTATAGGAAGTTGGCCCTTTGCTTCCAGTGTCCTCATTATCTCTGATCTTTATTCTTAGTTAACTCACTCCTTTCTGAAATATTGTGTTTAAGAAATTCTTTTCCAACTTGTGTACAGACCATCAAGACAATAAGTACTTAGGAAACAAATTAACCAGGTTAAGAGCTCATGGAATGCCAGGTTAAGAGAGGAACTAACATTTTATACAGGGTAGTGTATGAAAAGTGCCTTGGATAAAGTGACATTTGAGCAGAGGTTGGAAAGAAGAGAGAGAGAAGTGCATATGTGTGGGGGTGGGGAGCAGAGGAGTGGTAGGATTTGACTGACATTCCCCAAAATTCACTGTGCCTGAAACATGAAAGCCAGTTAGAGATCATAGCAATGGTACAGGAAGAGATGATGGTGGCTGAGATGAGGGAGTGGTGGTGGGGATGAGAATGTGGACATTATGGAAAGAGTCCAGTGGTGTGCTGGAAGAGGCTTGGACTGGCTCGTGAGACTTGATATTTGCATTCTGAGGAATTTTGCAAGCAAGTTGTTAAACTGATGCTAACCTAAAATTGACCACATTGGGGGTAGTTACAGAAAGAATTGGCATGTACTACCAATCAAGCTCTCCTTTTTTTTTTAAGAGTCAGTTGTTGGGTGGGATGATTTGAGAGAATAGCATTGAAACATGTATATTACCATGTGTGAAATAGACCACCAGTCCAGGTTTGATGCATGAGGCAGGTGCTCAGGGCCGGAGCACTGGGATGACCCTGAGGAATGGGATGGGGAGGGAGGTGGGAGGAGGATTCAGGATAGGGAACACATGTACACCCATGGCTGATTCATGTCAATGTGTGGCAAAAAACACTACAATATTGTCAAGTAATTAGTCTCCAATTGAAATAAATTAATTAATTAAAAAAAGAATCAGTTGTTAAAGGTTTACTATCTCACCACTGTACTTTACTGTTTTGAAGGCAGAATTGAATATGAGTTATAAACTGTGGCAAATTCTTAACGAGATGTAAATACCAGACCATATTACCAACCTCCTGAGAAATCTGTATGCAGGTCAAGAAGCAACAGTTAGAACCGGACATGGAACAATGGACTGGTTCCAAATTGGGAAAGGAGTACATCAAGGCTATATATTGTCACCTTGCTTATTTAACTTATATGCAGAGAAAAATCATGTGAAATGGATGAAGCACTAGCTGGAACAAGACAGCTGGAATAAATGTCAACAACCTCAGATGTGCAGATGACACCACCCTAATGGCAGAAAGTGAAGAGGAACTAAGGAGCCTCTTGATGAAAGTGAAAGATCTGACTTAAAACTCAACATTCAAAAAACGAAAATCATAGCATCTGGTCACATCAGTGCATGGCAAATAGATGGCGATAAAAATGGAAACAGTGACAGACTTTATTTTCTTGAGCTCCAAATTCAATGTGGACAGAGACTGCAATCAGGAAATTAAAAGATTCTTGCTCCTTGAAAGATAAGCTATAACCAACCTAGACAGCATATTAAGAAGCAGAGACATCTCTTTTCCAACAAAGATCCTACTAGTCAAACCTATGGCTTTTCCAGTAGCCAATGTACCAATGTGAGAGCTGGACCGTAAAGAAGGCTTAGCGCTGAAGAATTGATGTTTTTGAGCTGTGGTGCTGGAGAAGACTCTTGAGAGTCCCCTGGACAGCAAAGAGATCAAACCAGTCATTCCTAAACCAACCCTAATTATTAATTGGAAGGACTGTGCTGTTGCTGAAGCTCCAAAACTTTGACTACCTAATGGGGGGAGCTGACTCATTGGAAAAGACCCTGATGCTGGAAAAGTTTAAGGGAGCAGGAGAAGGGGGTGACAGAGGATGAGTTGGGTGGCATTATCAAATCAATGGACATGAGTTTGAGCAAACTCTGGGAGACAGTGAAGGACAGGGACACCTGGCATGCTGCAGTCCATGGGTTTGGAAAGAGTCAGATATATCGAATGATTGAACAACAACAATAGCATAAAAGAAAGAGAAATCAAGGATGAATTCAAAGCTTTTGGACACAGCATATTTCCTATGAGCAATTCATGAGGATTGTGAAATATTCAAGTCAATGGAAAACTACTCTTTCCATTGCAGAAAGAGGATGAAACACTAATTTCTGGGTTTGAGAAGTAGACTATCTAGACAAATAGAGAAGGAGAAAATTTTTTCTTAAAACCAAGATGACACTTGGTTTAAAACTAGACAGGCACTTCAATGGTGGGGAGTTAAGTGAAGGCAAGAATTCAGAAGACAGAATAACTCTTCTCCACAGGGTATTGCTGGAGTCCATGGAGTCCATGAGTCCATGCCTCAGTCCAAGGTGATGGATGATCTGTATTAGTTGGACTCAAGGAAATCCTAGTCCATCCCAAAGGAGATCAGTCCTGGGTGTTCACTGGTAGGACTGATGTTGAAGCTGAAACTCCAATACTTTGGCCACTTGATGTGAAGAGCTGACTCATTTGAAAAGACCCTGATGATGAGAAAGATTGAGGGCAGGAGAAGAAGGGGATGACAGAGAATGAGATGGTTGGATGGCATCACCGACTCAATGGACATGGGTTTGGGTGGACTCCGGCAGTTGGTGATGGACAGGGAGGCCTGGTGTGCTGCGGTTCATGGGGTCGCAAAGAGTCGGACACGACTGAGCGATTGAGCTGAACTAAATTCTCACATCCCAGGGAGATGTTGTGAGTCAGTCTCCAGAGCTACTTCCCATGATCTCTGCTCAGGATCACATATGAAGATTCAGCTCTGGGGGTTTCATGAACATGTGGACGGGCAGATCTCCATGGACAGAAGATTTTGGAGCAGAGTTGTGGAAGCTTTCTGCTGGATCCTTCTTGTGGGCTGTGTCCTCAGTGAGGGAAGGAGACAGTAGAGGCTGACCATGGCACCTAGCAGGGAGGAAGGAGGAGCTGTGGGAAACATTTTCATACTTAATTATCTGCTCATCATTCAGGAAAAGTTCTCTGCATGCCTCCCACATGCCCAGGTATTCTCCTCCGGGGCTACCAGTCCTCAAAGGATGGACAGCCCCTGACTCTGACCCCTCAGCCTCCTCCCCAGGTCCTCATGCTCCCTCCCCAGGCCTTCCACTCTGTCACACAGAAGTCACAGTTGGAGCAGCCATCAGAGGAGCTGATCTGGGACTAATCAATATTACCTTAAGTGTGGATACCTGTTGCCCTAGGGAGCCCCTGAGTTCAGTGATCTAGAAATGGTCTCCAAGGGAGCCACGCACTCAGCTGCTCCTCATTCAGCACACACTGCCTACCCCCTCCACAGGAACACCAGGAGAAACCCTTGGAAATCCGTGATCCAGTCCACCTCCTCCAGGACCTCACCGTCTCCTGGGAGCTGGGCACCTCTTAGAGGGAAACATGATACTCCTGAGGGTACTGAGGGAGATGTGCCTCCTTCTCTTAACTCCGTGTGAGCCCTGCCCCTGTGTGGCCTGTGGGTGGCCCCCCTAATGACCGCATGTCTTCTAGATTTTGTCCTGCCCTCCCTCATCCATAACTCACAGTCAGGCTCAACACTTCCTGTGGACAAAGATGGCAGATACAGTGAGCAGCAGCAGCACCTTGGGGACTAGGAAGACAATGGCCCAAAGAGAAGACAGCTCTGGACCTGGAAATCAGGGGACAAGAGGAGTGATTAGATACACCACACAGGATCCATTCCCCAGGGGCCTCCACTTACTCCATCTGAAGCTGAAGCCCATCAACATGCTATGGCTTTGACCTGCAACCTGAGCTAAGGCTCAAGGCAGAAATTAGGGTACAGAATCCCCTTATTTTCCGTCTCTCTTTTCTCAGGCTGCAAGGGTCCTATTATTTGAAGAGAAAATGCCAGGATTGAAAGTAACTGTGAGACAAGAAAAATTCAGCAAATCCTCATGCACAATCTCTCATTAGACTGTGATTCCATCCTTGGCCAGTCATCAGAAAAATGCAGGAGAAATAGGCAAGGCAGCTAGAACAGGTGCCTAGAGTTATTTGGAATTATCACCATTAATATTAAATATATCTAAACTTTGAAAACATTGGGAAAATTTCCTAAGAGCACAGACTATAGGAAAGGGTTTCAAGGTAAGCCTGATTTTAAAGGACTGGCACAAAATCCCCAGGTTCTGTGCATATGTTACCTTACATGGCAAGAAGGATTAGCAGTAGTGATTTGTTAAGGATCTTGAGATGGGCACATTAAATTAGATTTTCCAAGCAAAGCCAATGTAGTTATGAAGATTCTTATAAGTAAAAGATGGAGGCAGGTCATTTGGAGAAGCAGATGTAATCAGAAGCAGAGGTCAGAGTAATGTGGGGCCCTTTACCAAGGAGTGTGGGCACCCTTGGAAGCTGGAAAATTCAAGGAAATGGATTCTCCTCTAGAATCTTCAGAAGGAACACAGCCTAGTCACCCATTATAATGTCTGACCTCTACAACTATATGATAATATATTTATCTTGTATTAAATCACTAAACATATTAATTACTCACAGTGACTATAGGAACATAATTCAAGGAAGACAGATTTGACTCTATGGACAGGCATGACTTAAAATGCATACCCTCTGGGTAGAAAAGGCAAAAAGAGAAAAGAAGTGCTATTTGGCATTGAGTAGTAAAGAGAAAAAGAAAAAGGTAGGGAGAAGGGATTTCAGACATTGGTTCCTGAAAGATAAAAGAGAACCAAAGAATTAGAGGACCCAGAACTTTTTTCCCTCTATCAAAACCAACGAGCCAATGCGCCAAAAACTCCATTACTGTATTGGATTTTTCTATATTGCAGGAAGACAAGTCATTAAGATAGGAATATATTGTAAAACACCCCAATAGCATTAAAAAAACAGTAAGATGTCCATCCTCACACCAGGCTGACTGAACCCAGCATGGCAGTGGTTGGAGCCCTCAGATGCCCATGGTAGGTTTTGGGTCCCAGTAGGAAAGTCACGTCAACATCTTACACTTCTCTTCAGCCTGACAACCTAGATGCCCCAAAAACACACTAGCAGGCATGCTGAATCAGGCCCCTACAGCAGCCCTGGGTGAGCCCATCAGGAGAGGAGGTTGAAGAGTAAAAGCATGTCCAAGCCACTGCAGACAAAATGGCATGGGCTTTTCTCTCCTATGCTCCCTGTTAAGTACAACTTGAACCCTAGAAAGAGCACGAGAGACAAGCATAGGAGGACTCTGAGGTGGGAGAGGAGGTGGAGTGCCTAGGGATCTGAGATCTGGAGGAAGAACACAGCAGTCAGTCATCCAGGTCCGTTCTCCTAACTCCACACTTCAAGAGGAGACTCAGGTGTGGCACTAGAAGAAAGAGAAAGTCTAAACCAATTACCTAAATTCCTGCCTCAAGAAATGAGAAAAGGAGGAGCAAAATAAACCTAAGGCAAGTGGAAGGAAGGAAATAATAAATAAAGAAAAACCAATGAAATTAGAAACAGAGAAGCAATAGAGAAAAATCACTGAAAGAAAGAGGGTGTTCTTTTTAAAAGACCAATAACATTGAAAATTTTCCAGTACAACTGACAAATAAAAAAGGAGGAATGATACATTTCCAGTATTAGGATGAAACCAAGGATGTCACTACAGATACTGCAGACAAAAGGGTAATAAAGAAATGTCATGAACAACTGTACAGAAAGACATTTGACAACTCAGAGATGATGGAACAAATACCTCAAAAACAAAAAAACAAAAAAAACCCCACTACCTCAGCTCATTCAATGTGAAATGAATAATCTGAATACTCTTAAATATTTGATTCAAATTAATTTTCAAAAGATTCTCAAGGCCAGATGGTTTCATGGGAAAATTTTGCCAAGAACTTGCAAATAAATTAAAAATAATTTTGGTGTGCAGAAAACAATAATAGTATTTTGGAAAATTTGAATTTATGCTCCATTGGAAATGGTGTTAGTCATTAGAATTGATCATATTCAGTGGGCGCTTGTATGACTTTTGTAGAATGTCAATATACTTAACCAGATAACCACACTTCTGTGGACACCACTGACTGGTTGTGCACACAGGACTAAGTTGAAGTGGACATTATTATGAAACTGTTCTATATCTAATGTTTAAGGGAAGTTGTTTATTCTCCCCTTGCTCTCTTTATTCTTCCAGCAGGCAGGGACATGGGCACTCGGTGACCCAGTATTGACCCAGCAGGTGAGGACAACACCATAGAGTATGTTGGAAGAAATGTGGGCCTCTGATAGTTCTTCTGGAGTAACGGTGCCTGAAACCTGACTTGACCCTCTCTTGATGTTACATGAGAGCCTACAAGATGTTTTATTTATAGGAAGGGGGACTGTCCTTGGGACAAGCCCCAGCTGAGGGGGGAACCTGTCTCTAATTAGCACATATTTATTATATAGACTGGTGGTTCCTGTCCTCAGAGACTCAGATACACCTTGATTATCTTAGCCCAGTCATCTGGACTAAAAGTGACACATTTTTTCTTACCGGTGGTCACTCTTGGAGGTGGGAACTCACTTTAAAGTTCTATTTTATATCTATTGGCTTCTAGATTGTTCTTTTAAAAGAATGAATTACTACCTTCAATAGTAAAAAAAAAAAAAGATAAACAGCTGGGTCAGTTGCAATGGTGACCTCACCAGGGGTTTGACCTGTGTCCTGGTCCTTCTGGGGAGCAGAGACCTCCAGGGTATGGTTTTTGGAGACCGCCGGCTGCCCGTCATGCTCCACCTGGCAGGTGAGCACCACAGCCTCCCTGTGGGCAGAGGAGTTTACCAGGAACCAGCTTGTATGGTTAAAGGTCCCATCCTTGTTTTCTACGAGGGTCGAGGCCGGTTCTGTTCGGGACACTTTTCCGTTCTCCAACCAGGTCAGCTGTAGGCGCTGGGGGTAGAACTTGTTCACCTGACAGGTGACGTTCACCTGGTTCCCCGCTGGGGGGTATCCGGTAATCTCCAGGATGGGTGGGACTGAAACAGCACAGGAAGAAGTTCTGACCTTATGGAACACACAGGTCATAGGGGAGGAGATGGACAACAGCTCAGCAAGCCAGGGAGTCACCCAGAGCCAGGCATGCAGTAGGTGCTCAAGCACTGAGGGTCTATTTGCATATGAATGAAGTTGCTGAACACAGTGAAAGTACACTGCTCAAGGACAGGGACCTCCTATTAGGTTTATAATGTGTGAAATCAACAAGCTCAGCCTCTGGCATGCAGTTAGAATGTAAGACTGCAGCAAAATAAATGAAATCACCAAGCATATAGGGTCCTGGGCTTAGCATAGTCACTCAGTAATTGGAGATACTCAGGTGGTAAAGCCTCCAGTTGCAATGTGGGATACCGGGTTTGATCCCTGGATTGGGAAGATCCCCTGGAGAAGGAAATGGCAACCCACTCCAGTACTCTTGCCTGGAAAATTCCATGGACGGAGGAGCCTGGTAGGCTACAGTCCATGGGGTCTCAAAGAGTCGGACACGACTGAGAGACTTCACTTTCACTTTCATTGATAAGGAAAACTACTTATCACAGTGCTTGGCACATGGCGGTTGTACATCTGGCACTTTCATTAAAATGGAGTTACCAACTCTTCTAGGAGCCCTTTCTAGAAGGGCTAGTTTGGACAGGACTGTCAGAAAGTAGATTTCAGGCAATTCAAGGCCTGAAGCAAAAGGCAAGGAGGAGGAGTAGGGTGGGGTCTTGGGGGCAGGTGTGGGCTAGGGCTGAAGAAGGGGCATCTACCTCGGATGGTCTCGGACAAGCTGGCAGTCCCACGGAGAGGAGGGCCCCCCTGCAGCGTGACGTGGGCCACCTCGCAGATGACCTGGGAGTGAACGTCCCCTGGGGCCAGCAGCACCTTGGTTGTGCTGTTGATGCTATAGGAAGCACTGTCTTTCTGTGGGTCCACGCTGGTCTGGGAGGCTGAGAGCTCATTGCCATTTTTGAACCATTTCAGGGAGATGTTTCTGGGGGAGAAGCCGTGGGATGTGCAGGTGAAGCTCACTGTCTGCTCAGGTGTAGCCCTCACTGTAGGGCTGGATACCATGGGCGGAGAGGGCTTGGCTACAAAAGAAACATTTATAAATGAAGAACATAATTTTGATTATCATCACTACAAAAAGCTTGTAACAGTGTTAAGAAATTGCAAATATATTATTTTTAAATTCACGGTTGCCGTGAGGGTTAAATCAGGCACTGGAAGCATTTTTTCTGGGAGAAACATGTCAGGTGCTTCACAAAACTAAAGAAACACAGACCTCTGTTTAACCCAGAATGTATTTATATGCAGAACTGTCCTCTCAGGAATTTATGAATTTCCTTCACAATTGTCTTTCTTTTCATGAATATTCCAGTAGGACCAATGTATGAATCCCTGAATTTCAAAGGAATGGTGCCAAAAGGTGTTTTTTCTGAGTCTGGGTTTTTCTCTTGAATTAGTACCGGGTTGAGAACAAAGATTACTGAGTGCTGAGAAACCAGTGGTGGTTAATTTCTTATATATGTGTGTGTGTGTGTTAGCTGTTCAGTTGTCTCTGATTCTTTATGACCCCATGGACTGTAGCCTGCCCAGCTCCTCTGTCCATGGAATTCTCCAGGCCAGAATACTGGAGTAGGTAGCCATTTCCTTTGCAGGGGATCTTCCTGACCCAGGGATCGAACCCCTGTATCCTACATTGCAGGCAAATTCTTTACGTCTGAGCAACCAGGGAAGTCTGGTTAATTTTTTAGCTGTTATTAAATCTGTAGATACACAAATCAGCAAACCAAATATGAGGGTGGTTTCTCTCTGTTGATGGGTGCTATAGGGTGTCTCTAAATTGTTCATTATTACACAACATCCCGTGTATAAGTTGTCAAACAGCAAATGTAACAAATATTTTCATTTCTAAACATTTAACTTGCTTCCTAAAACTCAAACATTTGAGGACATAGTTAGGAGTTACCTTAATATGTCAAATCCAACAAACACCAGCATCATGGATGCCCCTTTAAGTACTGTGCTTAGATACCACTTGTCCAGAGTTGTTCAGAGCTTAAAGATGGGCTGAACTCTTGACCACCCTCGGCTCTCTAATCTTCCCACCAGCCCTGAGGGGGGACATGACAGTGGCCCTATACATAGGATGAGACTCAGGAAGGATGCAGCTGGCCTGGGGCACCCAGCAGGTAAGGTCAGAGCTCACCTCACTGCACGGGACAGACTGATTTTAGTGTCACTGTTCTTTATCCTGGAGCCTCACTGTTTCTGGACAAAGCAGATACAAGCACCATCTGTAAGATGAGTGAGGATGTATGTAACATAAAGAGCCTGGCGCACAGTAGGTGCTTAATTAGTAACACCTGTGATTGTTATCCTAAGATCTGGTCGTTCTAGTTCTGAAACTACATTTTTGGCAAAAGAAAGCAAAACAAAAGCACAATAGAAGCACCAAGGAGAGTCTCAAGTCTTGCTCCATACAGCTGCCTTGCAAAAATCAACATGAAAAGAAATAGTAGGAACACCAAATTATGAATCTGACCCCTATAAAATACATAATCCCCTCAAGAGGTAAGTTTGGGAAATTGGCTTTCAAAACACACAAGAGACCACAGGTACTTTTCCTGTAGATCAGATCATTACAGAATCTGTAAGCAAGTTGAAAGGAAGGAGGACAGATTTCATCAGAGCCTCTCTGGTGTTTGAGGCAAGAGGGCTCCTGGCTGAGCAGGGAGTGTTTGTAGAGATTCTAGCACCTGTTTAGACACCTGTGTTTAAAGTTGGGAAGGTTTCCCCAGTGATGAAGCTCATGTCTGCACAGGGTGGCCTGAGTGGGGAAGAATACCCTGTCAGATCAGGAGAGCTTGGTTGGAGGTGGGATTTATTTCTACCACTCCACTTGGGATGATTTTCTTGGGCCTCCTAAGATCTGCCAATATCACAGTCTATTCTGAAGCACCGACCCCTGTGAGAGCTGTTCTTTCAACCCAGGTACCAGAGGGGTCCACGTCTATCAGGGAAATACTGCAGCTCTCTCCCTCTGTGACCCCAGAGAACATGTAGGTCTGGGCTCCTCTGCCCTGGCTGGACACCAGTGTCCTCCACAGAAGTTAAGACACTCAGCTGCCCAGACCATGTCTGTGCACTTAAATCAGAGTTTCTAGGGTAGAGCCAGGGTCTGGGGATCTTTTCAGCAGCTGCCAGGTGATGCCATGAATGGTTGAAGTTGAAAGGTACCTAGTCCCACACCAACCCTAGCTGTACTTAGTCTTAGAGGGAAAGTGGCCCATAGAACATCCTCTGGCTTTGGCACATCACAGCTCATGTTGGTGGAAGACATGCCAGGCTGTGCTCTAATCACTTGACATGCGTCCCTCATTCAATCCCTGCAGCTACTCTGTTAGGATGGGGCTGTCACTGAGGGACGAGGACACTGATGCAGTGTTGGGAAGGACTCGTCAGAGGTCCCAGAGCCGGGACGGGGCAGAGCTGGGATGGGGGCCCAGGCAGGGGTATGGCCCAGGCTCTCAACCACAGTGCCCTGAGCCCAGGGCTTTCTAGACTCTCTCCCGTCATCACAGATTCTTGAAAGTTAATGTAATTACAACTATCTCACAGATAGGGAGACTGAGACGTTCCCAGGATCCCACTGCCCTCCTGGGATGGACAGCACCATCGCCCTCTGAGGGGTGGTGCTGTTACAGGTCATTGTACCCTCAGGACACCCTGCAAAGGTTGTATGATTATCCTTTTTCTACAGCTGAGGAAAGGGGACAAGCTCAGGGAGCTGGGTCTCAGCTTTGAAATAACACCTTAATTAGGAGAAGCTACTCTGTGCTGGTGATTTAGACAGAGCACCTCAAACACTTCTAATTCTCCTGAAAGGAGACCATGAGGACCGCTATTGTACGAAGTGAAAACTGATGCTGAGAGAAATGAAGAGACCATCTCCTCTCACTCCCCACTGTGTCCCAGTGTATCCTGTCACCTCCATGTTTCCCTTGTGGCTCCACTGGTAAAGAATCCACCTGCAACGCGGGAGACCTGGGTTCCATCCCTGGGTTGAAAAGATCACCTGGAGAGGGGAAAGGCTACCCACTCCAGCATTCTGGCCTGGAGAATTCCATGGACTGTTATGGTCCATGGGGTTGCAAAGAGTTGGACACAACTGAGTGACTTTCACTTTCACTTTCCATGAAAGTGAACCTGAACCGTGCTTCAGGTTCATTAGCAGAGCAAGTGCCCACCTTTAGGAGCCCCCAGCCTGACCACCACCCTCCCCTTTTCCCTCAGATTCTTGACTTCAAAAGACTACAGGGAGGAGAGGCCTCTGAGGGCCCAGGCCTGGGGACCCTGAAGCCACAAGGGAAGACATGGACTCCTGACACCTAAGTCTAGACTAGGAACTCTTGCTCACACGGGGCCCCACTCCCTCTAGGAAACACCTCCCCTTCCTCATCCTCAGTCTGCAGAACCAGGAATGGGCATGCCCGGTGCTGCTGGGGTCACACTGGCCCCTCTGGACTCTGTCCACACCACCCTTCCCAGACCTGCTCCACAGGAGGCCTAGTGAAGGGGCAACATCACAACAATGGGGATGCTGACATCATCCTGGGATGACAACATCTCCTGATGCTTTTAAGAGTGCTATTATATGTGCTGCCGAAGCGAGCATGGTTTTTAAGTGTGTTGATCCCTGTCATTGAGGAACATTTCAGCACATCACACAACACTGAGTGATCTGTCTCATCTGGGTTGTAAAACTGGACTTGCCTCCCTTACAGGACTTTTTAAACTGTTTATTTCTAAAGGAGAGGACAAAATAAGATTTTAAGAGGATGGGGTTGGAGCTTTCTCCATACGTTGACAAGCACAGTGGGGTGTGCAGAGAGCAGGGCTATGACACTGTGAGTGTTTAGGGTTCAATCTTGGCTCCTCTAGCTATTCACAAATCAAGTCCCCTCTCTGAACCTCAGGGTCCTCATCTGTAAAATGGAAAATAGACAATCTTTCCTTCTGAACACTGTTTATAATGAGCAAATGCCTAAGGAGGATTCACCATCTGACAGGCTGCTCCTCCCCTCCCCTCCCTCCTTTCTCATCCAGGGAATCTTCTGGCAGGCAGCCTGCAGAAGAGAATGAACAGCCCTGGAAGCCAGCAGATCTGAGAGGTGGGGGAGCCACTTACTAGCTGTATTGAGACTGAGCAGGGGACCCACAACCTGGGAAGTTTAGTAATATCTGCAAAATCATGATAAAGCCACCTGCCCTGCTGATGTCTAGAGGTTTGGGGAGATTCATTTGCTACCATGACTGGAAGGGAAATTTGGCAATACTGTCACACAAATTAAAATCTTAATACTGTCTAAACTAGCAATGCCATTTCCAGTGTATATTTCTCCTTTGAGGAGAGTGACACATGGAAAGGTTATCCCTTCAGCACTGTTTCAGTAGCCCAAGGTTAGGAACAACTTAGTGTCCATCAACAAGAGACCATAAGATGAATGATGGTATCACCATATGCTGAGTGTTAAGTAGCTGTTGAAAAACAGGGCAGCTCTAGGTGCTGATATGAAATGAGGGTTTTTGGATCATGCAGCTGAAAGTAGGAATAGTTTTCCAGTCACCTCAGGCTCAGGGTCTGAATATGAGGGGCCTTCTGAACCTTGGGGAGAGCAATGAAAAGAGCCTGTTTCATGGTTAACTCAAGGAACTTTTATTCTGCAACTTGTGTGTGCAAGTCTCTTCCATGAAACGAGTTCCAACGCTGGTGCAGAAAAGAGACTGGCTTGGAATCAGTTTGGATTCTTGATGGATTCTTGATGGATCCTTTCATTATCTATGTGACTGTGGTATGGACCCCTGTTATCTCCTGGCCTTGGCCACCATCTGTACATGGGGGTTTGGGAGGATGATGTCTAGAGATCTATCCTGTTCTGAGAGGCCAGGATTCAGAGTATTTGTCAGAAAAATCTAAATAAACACTTTTTCTGCCTCAATAGGGCTGCTTCAGCTCCTAACTCACCCATATGGAGAATTGCTTCCCTGAGAAGGGACATTCTGAGATGCTGGGAGACTTCAGTGA